GAGGCGGGGCCGAGGGAGGCGGGGCCGAGGGAGGCGGGGCCTGCCGTCACACACTCCCTGACTGACGGTACTCGCTAAGTCGCGGGGTCCTTCGTGTCGGCTGCACCCACTGTCCTCCAGCCTGCCTTCCGGCGAGGGCGAGCACGAAATAACAGCTTTTTAAAAAAAAGGCTAGGGAAAGTGGAAATAAACAGATCTTATGAACACAATTACAGGATGTGATGGCAATGATAAAAATGAATGCGCAAACGGACAAAAGCAAACATGAAAAATGAAAACAGTTGTGATATTGTGGAATAACAAGAATCTTTTTAATGACATTTAAAAATGTTCCTTTAATCTTGTTAAAATACTGCCTCTGTCATTTGTAACGACGGTCCTAGCCAAAGGTGGAACTGGAGAAGCTCTTAGTTCCTCCCTTTATATATGGAGGTGAGTAGTGCGCGAGTCGTCTGATACAGGCCCCTGGAGGCTAGACGGACTCTTAGTGACCTCTCAATATATTTTATGGGATAGACTTAGTTTGTTTCTTTTCCAAGAAAAATATCTCATTTTTATGATTTTGGGGCCTACAATAACTTAAAACTCTGGCTTTTTGGGGAGTCACTTTCAGGTAATGACTTTTTACTCAGCACTAGAAGGGTAGATTTGAGAGAGTTTCTCACAAGTATAAAAGGCATTTTAGAATATTTGTGAAAATAAGACACTTAATAAAGATTGATGTGTAGTTTGAGCTTAAATAAATTTTTCTTATAAAAAGAAATATTAAGAGAAATCTAGTTTTTATCTGTGCAGGATATGTCCTCAAGGAAATATGAGTAAATGTTTATAAAATGCTAATCTGTTGAAAATAGGGAGGAGAAAAAGATATTATCTTGTTTTAAAACACATAATTAAAACCACATAATAAGATGTATACAAATATTAGAGTTAATTTTCCAATAGAGAAAAATATAGTGTCATGTACATTGGCCAAATTGCAGCAAGCAATCCACAGGACCATTAAGAAAATACCACCTGAAAATCATGTTATAACCATAGTCAAGGAATGATGGAATAGGAATTTATCTGTGCAACTGCTAATACCAAGCAGCTAGTAACAAGTGCTCTTATGCAATTATTGTATCTTGACTTAAAGTAAGCCTTAAGAAATCCAAGAGCTTAAAAAAAAAAAAAAAAGGTTCTAAGAAGGTCCTACAAGTGATTCTTAGGCTGTTTCAAAATGTAAGGAGGCATTCGAACATATTTGAGTGTACCTTATAGTCAGTACCTGAAGAAAGAATAAGGAAAGTTACTTTTCCTGGGGCGGCTGGTCGGTACAGGGATTGAACCCTGGACCTTAGTTTTATCAGCATCACACTCTAATTAACTGAGCTCACTGGCCAGCCCCAAAACTTACTTTTTCTGAAATAACTATTACTTGTATACAAGCCAACTGGCACTTAAGAATGCTAGTATGTTCTGGTCTCTTCCATCATTCACTTTTTTACCTGATTTATATGTCAGTGCAACAGTGGGGTAGGTCGAAAGATTTTTCTCTGCATAACAAGTTTAGGGGATTTTTGTTGTTGGATGTGTGTGATTGGCAAGCTGACACAAGTTGGATAGATGGTCTCTATCTCTCTTGCTCCAGAAACTTGTTTATTAATGAAAACATTTAAGAACTGACCTACTTTGACTCCTTTCATCTAATTGGAATTTTCATCTTTATATTTTGTAAACACCATTGCATCAGTCATGCAAGAGAAAGAGGTCAAGGTTGCTACACATTATGATTCCTTTCCTTCGATTTATTACTGTGAGCAGTGGGAGTTAATACCCCATTTCAAGCTGGAGTCTGAAAGAAATCACCTCTGGAATCTCTGATGAAAAGCTACAAGTAAGTGAGCCCCAGACCTGGGTACAATAAATACCAATTATAATTGAATTGACTAGTTTTCATGTACAAGGAAAAACACAGAACTCAATGGTAGGCAATTTGACCATTAAATGACATATTTAAGTAATCAGAAATGTGATATTTTTCCCAAGTCATTGGCCAAAATAAGACATTTGTTCTCCATATTGCATAGATGTTTTTGGACAGCTGCACTTACAAGGGGAAAAAGCACAAAATACGTACAAAATCAACTCAAAATCTATTATACTTGGCTTTAAAGTCAAGTCAGAGTGAAAATCGATAACATATAATGTTAAATGAAAAAGAACATTACCAAACAGTACATGGAAGAAAATTTCCAATTTGGTTGAGGAAACATTTTTTAATAATATATATGTCGTCAATATATATTGAAATATTTAATAATGTATTACATACATTTACATATTTTTATAATATGTACATTTTCATTATTTCAAACCAATGTCACACTTGTCTAGTTTGCTGGGAAACTAAGTTAAGCATGTTTCTTGCACTAATATAGAACTTTTGATACTGATCCTTCAGTCAGATAAAATTTTAATATGTGAAGAAATACCAGAAATCTGATTTCTTCACTTCTTAGCTTAAAAAGGAGTTCTACAGCAAAAATGAACAGGAGCACCATCCTTAGTCTACATATCATCAGTGAGCAGATTTCAGAATTTCCAGTTTCAGGTTGATGTGACCAAATGAAAATTCTGACCCTCAACCATGACAGAACATATCCTCTTTCATGGATCCCATGAATTCTATCCAATGGTTGATGTTGAATGGCAACCTGGAATCAAAAGCCCCCTCCATGCTGCTTATGGTCTGCCTGCCCACTGTCAGAAGAGAGGGGTATGGGAGTCAAGAGCCCACACAAGCTCACACCTCCCAAGTTTATGGGCAACCACTACGCCAGCTCAAACCTGTCCACTGCCTGCAGCATAAACACACATTTACTTCTCTTCCCTTGGGTGATTTTACAGCTTGCAGGAAATGAAAAGTCAGTTCATGTTAATACTTATTTATTCAACAAATACAGAGTGAGTGTGCACACTGTGCCTGGTGCTGAGAATAAAGCAGTAAATAAGACACAGGAGGAATTCAGGGGCATCCCCAGCCACCATCCCCCTTCTCTGAGGACTAACCCCCTCCTCCACATTTTGGGTCTCACCCACCAGCTTTTTTTCATATCATACAACCTTATCTTGGTGAATAAAATAAATTCAGTCCCTTTCCTAGGAGAGCTTAGAGAAGAGTGGAGGAGACATTCAATAAGCAACTAAAGAAATGTAGTTGCAAATTGGATTAAGGGCCTTGAAGGAAATAAACAAGGTGCAGTAGTAGGTGGGAATTCAGGATGATGACACCAGAGAAGGCATGAAGGAGGAGAGAGTCCTGCCGAGAGCTAAGCATGAGCAAGCAGCAATGGGAAGGGCTACGGGAAGAGTGGGACAAGTGCAATTGAGCACATAGCAGCACTCAATAAATATCTCCAAATAAAGACAACATGCACACTATTACTAAATCTTCATAACTGATGGAAAAGTGGAAATTGTAATAGTTTCTCCAGCCCATAATTAGATCTAACATATTCTCTTAAAAATAATATATGCATATTGAATAGTCCTGCTCCTTCTCTGCCACACTCTGAACATAGCTTAACTCTGTTAAGTTAATTAAAAATGGCAGAATGGGGGCTGGCCCGGTGGCGCACTGCTCCAGTGCGCCGCTTGGGAGCGCGGCGGCGCTCCTGCCGAGGGTTCGGATCCCACATACAGACCGGTTCCCGCTCACTGGCTGAGCGAGGTGCGGGCGCGGCCCCGGGGGGTGCGCTCCCCCTGCCGGGC